AGGAAAACATACTAAAGAAGAAATGTGACCATTAAAGACATAATGCAGTCACGACCGATCCAGCGATGCAGGTACGACTGAACCACAAAAACCAAGATTCGTGTTCAAGCGTGCAATCGGAATGGGCAGTGACAGCCTTTGCGGTCACGCACAAAAACAGGTTTAGCTATTTAAAAAAAGGCACGCATGCGACTTGAACCACATGGATGTTAGGTTGGATATGGGAGTTTTGAGGTGCAATTGTTCGATCACGAAAAGCGCCATGACAACAGATTTGTTTGCTGTGGTTTGATCAAAGAGACGGACATACATTCCTACAGCAGGGGTAATTTAGAGCTGGGGAAAACCAAGACGGACAGTCAGAGAGAAAAAGTAAAGAAGTAGAACGGACCGGTGCCCCCCCCCCCTCATCACATGTCAACTGATTGCACGCTGTGGTTGATTTGTGTACACAGTTTTACATCCCCATTGACACAATCTATACCATTCAGGAGGTGGCTACTTCTGTCAAGGCCCGCCATGGCAAGAATAAGAGATATAGCATCCCATCAGATTTGTTTGTTTGAGTAAAGGGAAGCATTTTGACGCAATAATAGTCATTTAGTGCTGGAAAAGAGTAAAAAAGACAGGTAAACAAGTAGGATCTACCAGTAGCGCCCCCCAAAAAACAAAAAAACAAACCCAAACAAACCCAAAAAAAAAAACAAAAAAAACCCACCCATCAGAGAGACGGATGTACTCAACAAAATAAACTGACCAAGGCGGGAACCTAACTCACGTCCTCTGAGGGTAAAGGCGAAAAGCTAGCGAAACTGCGCATTAAACTCGCGTCTTCTGAATGCACAGGAGAAAGGCTAGCAAAACTGCGCAATATAATGTTGCAAAGATAACCACTATTAAAAAACTACCACTGTCTACTTATAAATGCAAGGAAAAGAGACAACCCATTACATCACTATTATTGCAATATTAGTCTTTTTATAAAGAACGTCTTAGCTCAAAATCGCTCTTGTCTACCAAGGAGTACAATGTCAGAGAGGCAATCCATTAAATCACAATAGGTACGCCGTGGAAACGGAATAATGAACAAGCGAGAAAAGTCTTACACTTATTCACAGTACCCGTGGTGGGAAGAAAATATTAATAGTACAACACATCCGCGCCAGTCACTGAACGAACAAATTATGGCTCGGCGTGACTAGATCTAGTTCTTCACATTCACACGGCCACACCCATTGTTTTATCGGTTCGGTTCCCGCTTTGCTATTCCAACAACAGTACCGCACTGCACAAAAAAGGTGCAGTGCCACAATTTTTCGCGATTTTTTTCTTCTTCTTTTTTCGATCTCCCCCCGCCCCCTCTTTTAAACATAGGTACTTTTACGCCCCTTTCGGCACAATTTACACAATCATTGTTTGACGGTGGGGTTTTTTTTTTTAGGCGGGGAGGAGGGGGTGGCTTCATAAGAATTTCACAGCACTTGTAAGGCAAAATAATCGGGCATTTAAATGACGAAGATTATAATTTTGAAATTATATAGGTTTGACACCCCTCGCAACACTGCATGTACGGTTATTTAAAAGGCTGAAGCTCTGAATTTAACATCTCCGAAAGGACCGAGCCAAATGGGACAATTCGTGTAAAGTGCCTTTCCAAACAACGTCGGACCGAGCTGAGGCTCGAACCCTCGAACTCGCAACCTCACAATTGAGTTGCCTAACCTCTAAGCTGAAAGTCAGAGATGTTATTAGAAAGTACCATATTAAGAAGAGAAGGTGGAGAGGTAAGGACGATATGTTTCATTTGACGAAAGGGACAAACAACAATAGTGCACCCGCCAATCATCCACTGGTTTGATGCTACCAACAGCTATTTTTGAAGTTTCTGAAACCAGCATTCCACAAGTTTTCTTTCGGTAGTTCTTGAGCAGCAGTTTACCGTGAGTCAACAAGATAACGAACACAGCTCGTCAGGAAAAGATGAGACAGTTAAAACATCACTGGAAAGTAGCAGAAGATGCAAATCACACCAGAGTGCCTACCAACTGAATCTTAAGTGGTCAACTTCAGGGTACAAAGTAATCTATCTGATTTGTTGATTTGTTTGAGTAAAGAAAACATAAAAAACAAAACAAAACCCCCAGGTAATTTGGTACATGACCGCCCCCCCCCCCCTAAAACGGTTTAAAAAGGACAGACCTGAAGAAAATTCAGGGAGAGTAAAGAAGTAGGTCGTATCAGTGGCACCCTCCAACCATCGAGGGGATGGTAGCTGGCTCCATCAAAACAAATTCTTGCTGTATGATAATAATAATTTATTTTGTTCCATCAACAACCCAATTCTCCTTTAGTTCCCACGAAAGACCCGCACCACAGCAGCGAGCGGCACGCGAGTAGGAGTACGACACCATGAGAGGAGGGTCCTCCCACACACACCGCAACGAAGAAGCCGAGGTTTGGAAAGGAGAGGAGATGGTTTGAGTTTAGTTTTAGTAGAGGTTTTACGGCACTCGCAACTGCATAAGGTCATATGAGCGCCAGAAGATTAGAGTTTAGTTTTAGTAGAGGTTTTACGGCACTCGCAACTGCATAAGGTCATATGAGCGCCAGAAGATTAGAGTTTAGTTTTAGTAGAGGTTCTACGGCGCTCGTAACTACATAAGGTCATATGAGCGCCAGAATGAGGATTAGAGGTGTTACAAGAGAGTAACAAACATAAAAAAGAAGAAAGGGAGATAAGGATGATAGATGTTTGATAGAAAAGAAATAGCAAACCACATCAGAGCACCCGCCAACCACCCACAGAGGAGGGGGATACAAATTGGTAGTAGAACGTTATCAGAAACTACAATGCGACTTAATGCTTAGCGTATGGAGCCCGTAAGTTGTAAGTGAACGGAGATAACACGATTTTCTGATCTGTTCTAGCTTTGTTAACCTACTGAGATTTTTTCGTTTAGCTCAGTACGCCGAGCCGAGATTGGAAATGGGAAGGTGGAAGCACAGAAACAACATAGGGGTGGGAAAGAAGTTGGGTTAGACCTATCAGGGGCACCCTCCAACAACCCACTAGGATAAATAAATGTACATGCCGTGTCCATGACCTCGCCAGACCTCGGCACCACAAGGTCTCCCGATAAAAAGAAAAGGAAACAACGAGGCGTTCGGAACGCGACGAACGTTGATGAGTGCTGCGGTGGTGCTGCCTCACTGAACGCTTCAGTCAAGTGCCCCTCCCTCCCACTCTTTTCTCTCTCTCTCTCTCTCTCTCTCTCTCTCTCTCTCTCTGTATATACATCTCTCTCTGTATCTCTCTCTCTCTCTGTCACTCTCTCACACACACTCACACATACATGTACACACAACATCTCTCTCTCTCCCTC